TGTGTGTATGTGTGTGTATACATACACATACATATATATATATATTATATATATATATATTATATATATATATATTATATATATATATATTATATATATATATATATATAGTATATATATATATATAGTATATATATATATATTATATATATATATATTATTATATATATGTTTCATATATAATTATGCATGGCTATAATGTTATTTTCTGTAAAGTATTTAGTTTGCTATATAGGATTCTATCTTTATATATATCTATATGTCTATATCTATCTATCTGTCTATCTATCTATCTATATATATATACACACATATATACATATATATATATATATATATATATATATATATATATATATATATATATATATATATGTATATATATATATATATATATATATATATATATATATATATATATATATATATATATATATATATATACATATATGTATATACATATATATATATATATATATATATATATATATATATATATATATATATATATATATATATATATATATATATATATGTATATATATATATATATATATATATATATATATATATATATATATATATATATGTGTGTGTGTGTGTGTGTGTGTGTGTGTGTGTGTGTGTGTGTGTGTGTGTGTGTGTGTGTATGTGTGTGTATACATACACATACATATATATATATATATATATATATATATATATATATATATATATATATATATATATATATATATATATATATATATATATATATACATATTGATAGATATATAGGTAGAAGGAAATGTAGATATTCCTTATTTATTTACGTTGCGTCGAGAACTTACCTTCAGGCTATTTAGGGAAACTGAGGCTCCGTTCTTTGAGTACGAAAGGAAAATACAAAAACAGAAAAGGGAAGATAAAACAGCTTATACGTGCATGTGTGTGTGTGTGTCAGTGTGTACGTTTGCATACACAGACACACGCGCACACAGACAAGCTCAGTAGATCGGAATAAAAAGGGGAAATTTAAAATAGAGTAAGAAACATGTTATAAAAGGAAACAAGCAAAAGAAAATATATATAACTACGGAAAAGAAATCAAAATAAACCGATGCAATCAATATAAAAGTAAAACATGAACAGATTAATAAAAACAAAATACGCACGAAAGCAAAACAAAACAAATAAAAAATCAAAACAACAAAAATAACAAAGCAAAAAAGCAATAAAAACACAACAAATTAAAAACAACAACAATAAAACAGAAACAAAAAATAAAGAACAAAAACAATAAAAAAAAATGAAAGAAAAACAAAACAAACACAGAAAATAGAAAAAAATTAAAGAACTAGCTAACGAAAGAAAGAAAGAAAGAAAGAACGAAAAAAAACAAAAAACTAAACAAAACAAAACAAAAAAAAGAGATCACCTGCGGCCGTGGTGTTCTCGGTCTCTTTATCCTCTCCCCATTTTCATCATATTCTGGTTCCTCGTCTGTTTCTTCGTCTTCTTCTTCATCCTCATCTTCATCAGGCCACTGCGTCATGCACGAATATGCGACACAAAGGAAGAAGGAAGAAGAAGGAGAGAAAATAGATATCATGCAAGGAGATGCTGTGCTCACTGGATCTATCTATTTATCTATTTATCTATTTCTCTGTTTATTTATCTATCGATCTATCCATCTGTTTTCTTTTTTCAATTTATTTTCTTGTTTATTTATTTGCCTGTTTATGTATTTATTTATTTATTTATTCATCATTTTATTTTTTATTAGTTTGAATGTTTGTTTGTTTGTTTATTTATTTATTTATTTATTTATTATCAGTTAATTCATTCTTACTTATCAAAAATCTATTAATTTATTATTTAAGCTTAATTTTCTTCTTATTTATTTGTTTAGTCACTTATTTATCATTTATCATTTTTATTATCTGTCTTTTATTTATCTTTTTTGTAACTAATGGGTTAATGAAGGTAATTATTTGAATTGATTATGTTATTAGGATCTATTACACTAAGGAAATCTTTTCATCGAGGAAATAGATAAATAGATGGATAGATTATGGAGAAAAATAGATAAATTGATTAAAGATTGAATATTTAATTACTAAGTAAAGAAAATTATAATAATGAGAACGAAGAGAGTAAGTGAGACTTAAGAAATGGAAATCATTAATAAAAAGGGGATATGAATGATAGAAAAAAGGGGAAACGGATGCATGTTAAATATATAAAGAAAGATTTAAGTGATCAAGCAAAATCATGCAATGTCATTCTGAAAAAAATTACGTAAAAAATATAATAACAATAAAAAGCAAGAAAAGAATATCACTTAAAAGAAAATAAACATTTAAGTACATGCTTTCTAAACGCACATACATCACGAGACAAAACAACAACAAAAGCAACAAATATTCTCCCTATCAACAAATTTACTTTTTTCCATCAATTTACTTCTTTTTTTTAAATATACCAAAACCTTGTCAAAAATCTATCCCAATATACTTAC